TTTTATTGTCTTGAAAGCAATATTAAAAAGTTTTAATAATGATCGGCATATTATAAAATTATCCAATCAATTTCTTTGTGGATCAACCAATCACAGATAAAGCCCGCTATGTTGCTAATTATAGCAGCATAGCGGACATTAGTATAATTGGTAATGATTTTTGTTGATCATATTTTGATTTTATCACGCAAAAAAGCAAAATTTGATTGGCCCAAATAAATTACACAAAATTTTAAAGAAAAAAGAATTTTATTTTATTTTTTAATGAAGTTCCAACTAAATAAATCCTTGCATGTAACTTGCTAACCCAACATTTAACCAATTATAAAAAAGTGTGCAAGTTTTATCAAGTATATATTGGAAGCAAATTTTTATTTATCTTATTTGAGGTGTGGACAATAGAAATAAGGTCAACATATATCAATCATGTATAAATAATGTTTTTTATTTAGTGTACTTGTTCAATATGTAAAAAATAAAAAAATAAAACATTTATGACTACCTTTTATGCCTAAGTCAATCATACAGCATTCATGTATAAATAACATTTTTTATTAGTGTACTTATTATTATCCAATACCAATATGTAATAAATAATATGTATGTATGTGTTGCTCTAGCACAATTACCTTTATGTCTAAAAATAAATAAAAAATAAGTGCAATTGAATCATTAATTTTTGCACACCTTGGTAAAAAATATTTGTACTTGCTGAAAGAACAACCCAGTTTCATCCATGTTATATACATCTTCAGATTTAAAGGTGCTGATGACTTGTTTTCAGATCAGGAAGGTGCATTTTCAATTGCATTAATATCAGCTGAATCACTTTCTCCATGTAATTGGTATCTTTTCAAATTGTTTCTACAAGTGTGATAATTTGTTATTGATAAAGTTACTAATCTTAGTTCAATATAATACAGAAACATACATATTCTTAAAGCTTTGAAGCCACCCAGTGGAAAATGACAATGTACATTAAGCATTTTTGCAAATGTTTTAGCTTTTTCAATTAAGATTAGGTCTGTTAAAGCAATGTGACCTTGTGAATGCAAACACCATTCTTGGAGTGCATGTTCAAGTTCAGGATACTTCACACTACACATTTTTTTTGCTGTGGTTTGCCTCATTGTTTAAATTACTCAGATGAATGTTTTAATGTTCGAGAGATAGTTGCTTGATCAACCTTTGCACCAAGTTCTTGTTCACACCAAGCAGTTAATTCTTTTTGAGTGATTTTTGGAACATTTTGCTTTTTTAAACAAATTTGATGGTGTTGTTCATTGTTTAAAGTAACTTTTTTCATTGTTAGTAATGTGATGATGACAATATCTATGTGAATAAATTTAACACTAATTATAAAAATTATTCTAAAAATGTGAGTGATAACTCAAGAATGTCAATATCACAAATGATTATAATGCATGTTCATTTATAATTTATGACACATGACTTTACATTAGATAAACATGTGATAACATGAATATGCATACTCTGTCTATTTGCATACATTTGCATACAAACTCATATACTCCCAAAAGTATGCAAATAGACAGGTACAACTGTATTGTAAAATCGAAAAAGTACCACTTAGAAAAGTTGAGTGCCACTAACTATATAACACCACCTCAAACTTTGCACAAATGTTCTATTATTTTGGTTCTTTTCTGAGCAAGAAATAACTTTTTCTGAGCAGGATCAGATTTTTATTTTTATTAAAAACAAAGTTGCTCTAAATTTGTCATAACATCCAAATTTGTGATGATCTACATTTTAACTTGACATGCATAACATAAAAAATAAACTAATACAGTCAACCCCCTCTAAGTGCACATCCCCTTCCCACTGCACTGCATGGTCTTTTTTCATTCCCATCTATATAAAACTCCCTCTCTAAGTACACTCCCATGACTTTCACATGATCATTTTCCAATAAAAATTGTGTGACGTTATTAAATTAAAATACCTTTTCTTTAAAGGTAGAGTGTAGTCATGTGATTTTTCATAACAACTGGGAGGATAAATTTTTTACTGTGACAATCATTTTCTTATGTCACACATTAATATAAAATAATTCTAAAACAATCAAGTTTTTAATAAATAATTCCATCCTTTTGATTTAGCTTCAACAACCTTTGAGGCCATAAATAATCAAGCTACAAGTTAAGGGTAGAGTGTAGGTAACATGAAATTTACTATGATACAGTAAATATTTTTTTGACTGCGAATCATTAAAAATATTAGTGTAGTCATGCATGATAACATTATTATTACAGAACAGGAGAGAACGTACTGGGAACACAAAATTAACAGGAGGGAACACAAAAATTTAACCCATGCAATTTTGTTGATTGACCAATTA